GTCAGACCGCCGAAGACCCGGGCGCTTCTCCAGCAGGGGTCCCCGGAGGCCGAGCACTGCACAGGCACCTCCCTCCGCCCGGGCTTCCCCCCCCACGACGCGGGGTCCGGTCCGTCCCCGGGCCCACGCCTGAGGGCCCTCCCTGCGGCCCGAGGACGGGCCCCACGGGGCCGACGTCGACGACGCACTCGCGGACCCACTCGTCGACGACCCACGCCTGCTGGCCCTCCCCGTGGCCCGACGAGACGGGCCCCACGGGGCCGACGTCGACGACCCACCTGCGGACCGCACATGGCGCACCGTCGGGGACCTTCTGCGCCGGGGGGGCGCGATCGCCGAGGCGGCGGCGAGGCGCCGCCGCGCACCTCTGGAGGCCTTCCGGATGGGCCCGAGCAGCTGGGGGTACAGTCGGGACGTTGACCTAAGGAACCCCAAAGAAGGAACGAGGCCCCTGTTTCCCATCAGTTCACGTTCGGTTTCCCATCGAGAAGCTAAGGAAAACCTGAGGCAAGCCGTGAAACAAGCAAGGAACACGGAGCCCCTCCCCAACGAAAAGGGTTCCTTCTTCAGCGCCCCGACTGTAGGAAGATCGCGCCGCATCGCCGATAAATCGCAGATGCATCGGCGATGCACCGGCGACGTCGACGATACATCGGCGACGTCGGCGTGGGAACATCCAGCCGCATCGAGCCGCATCGCCGATGCATCGGCGATGCGGCGCGACCCCCCGACCCCTTCTACTGCCCCGTTCATTTGGGAGGCCTGGAACTTCTCGCCCCGGCCAAGGGCACGCGGCGGCGTCGGCGTTGTCGTCATCTTCGTCGCCGTCGTCGTCGCCGTCGCCGCGGCGTCACCGTCGCTGTCGCTGGCGCCGTCGCCGTCGCCGTCGCCGCCGCCTCTGCCACCGCCGCCGCCGTCGCCGCCGTCGCCGCCGCCGCCGCCGCAATCGTCGTCGTCGTCGTGCTCGTCGTCGCCGTCGCCGTCGTCGCCGCCGCCGCCGCCGTCGTCGACGAGACGGCGACGTCGGCGAGGGCGGGGCGGCGGGGGCGCGCGATCGCTGGGGCGGCGGCGGGGGGTGGTCCGGCCCCCGCCCTGCTCGAGGCAGGGCCTGCGGCGCGCCGCGGCGCGGACGAAGCGGTCCGAGAGGTCGTCGACCTCTCTCGCGGGCGCGGCGGGGAGGCCGCGGCGGGCCCCGCAGAGGGGGCAGAGCACGTACTGGAGGCCGGCCCACGTGGCCCTCCCCAGCCCTTCGCGCGTCGTGACACAATCGCGAGGAGGAGGATGAGGAGGATTATGACGATAAGGAGGAGGAGGAGGAGGAGGAGGAAGAGGAGGAGGAGGAGGAGGAGGAGGCCGCTGCCTCTCGGGAGGAGAGCTCCCCGCCCAGCCCCGTCAGAAGGGGCGGGGGGATCCCAGCCACGCGGGGCGCCCAGCCGCCTCGCGCCACGGCGGCCGCGGAACCCGCGAAGTCGAGCCAGGACACCAACATGAACACGGGGTGCTGCCCGACAGCGTGGCGGCCCAGCGATATCCGATTCCGCGAGATCGCAACGCTGGGACCTTCGGCGTCCCAGCGAGAGGCCCGCCGCAGGCGCCTCCGCACCACAACGCAGCGTTGCACCACCTGCCCAAGACCAGCGCAAACGAGGACCCTGACAAGGAGCAAGCACACTATACAGCTCTTCGCAAAGAAACTGTCGAACTTGTGCCTGCCGCCACCGCCTCCACCACCTCCGGCATCGGCGCCATCAGGCAGCTGTTGGACGACAGGCTTGCCATCGTGAGGAAGGAGATGGCGGAGGGCTTCTGCGCCATTTGCCACGTGGTTCAGGCAGGCCAGTGCCACTCCCCATATGTCCTTCTTAGATCAATGTGCACCAGAAGTCCTGGATGCGCCTAATTACCTTCAGGTCGGGCGTGTCCTCCTACAGCCAGATCTTGGACGAAAAATGAAGAACAGTCAAACATACGAAACCATGATAAAAAAAAACTGTTAACAAAAATCCCCAGACTATTTATATAACTATTTTTGGACACTCCTCCTGTAGAGAGACGGGCCCAACTTAAAATTACCTGCGACCCGCCGTGCCGCACCTTCGGCGTGGCCTACCGGAAGGACCACCGCGCCCACGAGGCCGCGGAGGCTGCCGCCCGCAGAGGCGCTGGCCGCCGGGCGCAGCAGGACCGACGGCGAGACCACCGGTGCAACTCTGTAGGTCTCGAGCCCGAGCGGCTGCAGAGACCAACATGGGAGACCCGAGAAGCCCCCTCTCCCGCCGCGCATGTCCTCCTGCAGTCTCCACGGACAGACTGTACACGAGAGGCAGAACGGGCCTCGTCAGCGAAGCAGCCCCTGCTGTCTGCCAGGTCGCCGGGCGGGGGGGGGGGGGCAGGGCGCCCGGCTCCCCGAGGCAGCAGGTGCACGCGGGGAGGGCCTCGCCAGCCCGTCCTGCCCGTCCGGGGGCTGCCCCCGCCACGGCGGGGCCAGGGCGGGCGCGCCGCCCCACGCGGCAGCCTCGACAGCGCAGCAGCCCGCCGACTGCCGCGTCGTCCTGTGCAGGGGGAGCGCAGACCTGCAGTCAACCCGTAGCATCAGGAGGCGCGGTGAGGATGCAAGGGGCCTGGAAGGCCGCTTCGATCTTTTTGTTCGAGCGGGGCGCGGCCAGCGAAGGTGGCCAAGGATGGGCCGAGGAGGCAAGGATGCAAGGGTACCCCGATAGCTGGAACGTCGCCCTGTGAACGGGACGGGGGGCGCCAGAACGCCTGTCGGAGGCACCCGCGCCGCCCATCCACGATCCTGGCGCGGACGAGCCAGAGAAAGAGCCGTGGGGGAAGCGGGTTCTGAAGGAAACGGGTCCTGAGGCTTTTTGCCGTGTTCGGGCCCTCGGGGCCCTCCATGGACCCCGGGGACTGTCAGGAAGCGACAGAACACGACTCGGGATGAACAGCTCGTCCTGGGGGAAGGCCCCAGGGTCCAGGACCCGTTTCCCCCGGGACCCGACTCCCCCAGGACCCGTTTCCCCGATGCTGAAGGAGGACGACTAGAGGGCTCCTAGATGGGGTCGGGGTAGATGGGGTCGGAAGATCGCGCCGCATCGCCGATACACCGCCGATGCATCGGCGATGTATCGGCGATGCACCGGCGATGCACCGTCGACGTCGGCGATGCATCGGCGACGTCGACGTGAGGCAGATCGGGCGCCACATCGAGCCGCATCGGCGATGCATCGGCGACGCGGCGCGATCCTCCGTCCCGAGCTGCCCCGACCCCATCCAGGAGGCCCCGAAAGACGCAATGGGGACTGCGAGGAGCCGGGGCCTGGACCGTGGGCGCCCTGCCCGGTGCCGCACCGCGCCGACCACAGCGGCGTGCGGGGCAGCGGCGCTGGCTACAACCCCGTCCTCGGCAGCACCGCGTGGCCCCCGCCGCCCCGCCGTCTTATCCCAACCTGTCCGCCTTCCGTTGGCGGTGCGCACAAGGGGGGGGGTGGAGGGAGGGGGGAGGGGAGGGCTTCTCAGAAGGAGGCTGCTCCTCAGAAGGCGCCGGCCTGACACCTGTAGACAAGGCTAGATAAGGCCCGCGCCTTCTACGAAGCAGGGTTGCTTCTAAGAAACCCTCCCCCCATCCCCACACACCCCTCTGCGCGTGGCTGATTCCGCGCCGAGGACTACGCGCGGGGGGTGTCGACGATCTGAGCGCAGAAGAGCTGGAAGGGGAAGACCCAGAGGAACACGGGGAACACGATGAGGTCCAGTCCGACTCGGACACCAACAACGCGACGCTCGCGGCATGGCGTGGCAAGCGACGCTGGGGCTAATTTTTAATTTTGTCTCACGGTGGTGGTGAGCCGCCACTAATCTAAAAACTGGCCAGGGGCATGGGTGACCACCTACACCACCCTATAACTTGGCTAGTGAGGGGCGCGAAGGCAGCGCTCGTCCACGCCTCTGCCCCCCGCACGGGTGCGAGGACAGCAGACCTCCTCCGACGCTCGCTTTGCGCTCCAGCCCAGCAGCCAACCTACAGCATGTTAGCCTTGTGGGAGGGGACGGACAAGGGCCTTGCAATTGCACTGCGGGGAGGGAGGGAAACGAGCCGCTGGACGCCCTGGCTGGGGCAGGGGCGGCCGCGGCCCAAGGCGCGCGCCGCGCCCGCGCAGCTGCCAGCAACGCCGCCTTACCTGCCTGCCGCCCGCACGCTCCGCGAACATACACCTTTTACGCCTCGCTCCATCACCCTCGTCGAGCACGGGAGCACCGAGGCCGAGCGGGCCACCTTTTGAACTGCTCTGCCCCTGCCTTCTGCCGTAAGCAGCGCCGCCCGAGCTTGTCGCGGCAAGCCCCTCTGGCCAACAAGGCTACGGCGCTGCGCCCGAAAAGAACTGCTAAAAAGCACCGCCGGACCAACAACAATGTTCCTAGGTCTGCGCGCTCGCACTCGGTGGGACCCGTGGAGGTTACTGGGGTGAACCACCAAACCCCCTAACGCGACGCCAACCCACCGGCAAGACTCGCCGGGCTTCAACGTGCAGGCGTATTCGGCCACCTCGCCGACAGGGCGCGTGACCGCCTACAGGCCCCGTTCGCCCGTGGCTGCCATAGCTCGAGCCTTGCCTTGTCCGTCACCCCTGCCCGCTCCCGCCCCTCTTCTTCGGCACGCGCCCGTGGCACGGGCACACCTATCAGTGGGGGGGCTCGGGGGCGGCGGAGGATCCACGACCCTCGGGCGGGCAGCAGCGAGCCACAGCGCGAGCGGCACATCCGTCGTGCCCACTGCGCCGCCGCCCACCGCCCTCCGCGTGCCGCCGGGAGACGACGAGGAGCACGAGGGGAGGTCTGGGGGGTTGTGGACGGAATCCTGGCAGGCATAGCGGGAGCCCTATGTGATCACCCCCCCCAGTGGCGAGGGCCACTGGGGGGGCGCTGCGTCTGAACGACCCACAAGCCAACAGCTCGAAGTTCGAAGGATGATGAGGTGGAGGAGGAGGAGGAGGAGGAGGAGGAGGAGGAGGAGGAGGAGGAGGAGGATGCTTCAACAAGAACGGCGACGAGGAAAGAAGTTAGAGGATCGCCCACGGCCCCGTCTCAACTGTAACCCCAGGACGCTTCGCATGCTCGCCCCTCGCAATGAGGTTCTAATTATCCTGAGTATGACGGGTTGGGTGATCACTGCAGCCTTTGGACAGTCCTCGAATCTGTCCATGGCTCGAACAGCATCTATACTTGAGGCATACCGTGAACGACGCACTGTCGCTGCATTCGACCGGGACGCAATTATGCTTCCGAGATTTGAGGGCGGATCCAGACAAGCCGTGCACTTCCGAAACGCCAGGGGCTGGCACAGTCGATCCTCGCAAGAGCAGATGGGAGCAGGAGGCCAAGGCTGCCTTCTTTCCCATGCGAAGACCCCAGAAATCCCGACCTCACCCCTGGGCCAGCCTGTCCCTCCCGAGCCGACTCGTGACGGTCCCGGGGCCCAGCGAGGGCCCTCCAGATGCCGAATACGGCGACGAGCACCTCCGCCTCGATGATTGCACCAAGACGCTTGATGTCTGCGGGCGGGCTCGCACGTCTCCTCCTCGGTGTGTGCTGCGCAACCCTCCTGCACGCCACCCTCGGGCCACGCCCGCACCATCCAGTGTTCGGCGCAGGCCGCTCTCTTCTCTCTGCACGCTGCCTCGCCACTGCGCGGGCCCTCCACCTGCAAGGCCTGGTGCTAATCATATAGACGCCTCCCAGATGGAGCCGGAACAGTTGGGGTCGAAGGATTGCGCCGTATCGTCGATGCATCGGCAGCGTCGGCAATGCGTCAGCGACGTCAGCGCGGAGAAAATCGGGCTCCACATCGAGACGCATCGCCGATGCATCGGCGATGCGGCGCGATCCTCCGACCGCAACTGCTCCGATCCCATCAGGGAGGCCTAGATCATCGCGGCAGTGCGTGTCCCTTGCTACCCAGTCCTCCGACATCGTTCACTTTGCAACGCGGAGCCCCGCACCCACTTCACTGGGCCCGTCTTTTCATCCCGAGTCGTTTTGTGACGGTCCTGGGGCCTGGCGAGGGCCCCCCCAAGGCTTAGGGTTGGCATGTCCTCCTACAGGGGGAATTTTGGCATAAGAATCAAACATATTTTTTTCAAATGCACTCAAATAATCAAACCATCGTCCCCCGACAACTTTTAGACTCTTTCTGAATACTTATCCTGTACTCGCCACCGCTCGGACGTCTATTCCCTGTGTTTTTTTCGGTTTCGTGCGTGGTTTTCGCCAAATGATCAAGGATGCTCCTCGATGGTCCTCGCCGAAGGAAAAATGGATTCGTCCGAGCGATGCCAAGGAGAGCGACAATGAACCTGTCGTCGTGGACCCCGCCCGGCGCGAAGGGGTCCGGCGCTCCCTCCAAGGCGGTGCCGCCACCTCGCCGAAGGAGCTCGAGATTCTAGGACATCTGGGTTTTCAAGTCGGGCGTGTCCCTCTACAGGAGGAATATTCCAAAATAGTGAAAATGAAGGGGCCCTGGACACACAAATAAATATACACAAATAAAAGGATTCCCTATATTTTCTTATATTTTCTTGGTCTTTGTCTTCCCCAACACTTCCCATATTTTCCTATTTTTTCTGGGGAATGGAGGATTAATTGTGTCTGTGTGTTTCTTGCCCTCCTGAGAAAAATGGTATGGGGACGTTTTTTCTACTATTTTCGACCCTGTCTTGAGTAGCTGTTGGACTATCTTCTATCCCTCGCCCAAGATATCCGCCTGTATGGGGGACACGCCGACCCAACTCTGGGTGGGCCTCGCGCGCGTCCGAGGAGGGGCGCGAGGTCCGGGCAGAAGGGACGCAGGCCGCCGCCGACGACGACGACGAAGATGAACTACGACGACGACGACGAAGATGAAGGCAGCCGACGACGACGACGACGACGACAGCGAAGCGACACAACGACGACGAGCGACCGCCGCGACGCGGGCGAAAACGACGAAGTCCGCGGCAGGGCGGCGGCAGCACGACTCTTCTTCACTAGAATATGTCGAGCTTGCCTGCATGGGAGGGTGGGGGGGCGCTTCGGCGAGTCCCCAAGGGATGGTTCGCCAGAGATCGCGCAAATCGAACGTCATTCGCACGAGTTTCCTGCCCGGCAGGGGGTGACAAGGGCGGCGAGGGGGGAGGATCACCGTGCAAGTTCACTTCCACGGGTCTAACCAGGACGGGAATGTTGTCATGATGAGAGTGGCTCAGGATGCGCTCCACGATCTTCAGGAGCCTCTAGCGGCCCTCGTGTTTGCAGCCGGTGCGGAACAGCAATTATAGACGAACGCGTTCCACTACTCGCAAAGTAAGTACTCGCAAAGCGCCTGGATCCCCCGCGGAGGATCTACGATAAAATACTTCAAGGCGGACATGCTTTGTTTGTTTTTTTCTGACGTTTGCGAGTCGGCACTTTGCGAGCAGTGGAACGCGCTCGGTGAAAGTAGGGAATGTGGGAGAGCCCAGGAGCCTTGGAAGTCCTGAAACGTATCATTCTCATCATGACCTCTGACTCCTCCGACTCAGGCTGGCGGCGCGCACCAGGGGGCAGAGTCGACTACGCGCAGGAATGGCCCCGGGCAGGGAGCGACCTCTGGTGCGCGCGGCTTCCTGCGGGCCGCGGGGGAGCCACCATACGAGCGCGCAGGGCGCTGCTGCCGCAGCGCGCTCGGCGATCGGGGGGCCCCCAGAGGGCGCGCACCGAAGGTCACTCTGGCGAAGGGCCACTCCCACGTGCAGCCGACGGGGGGGGGGGGAAGCACTCCCCCTCCCCCCCTCCCAATTGTGCGCGCGTGGCCGACATATCCTGCAAGAGCACGAGGCCCTCCGCCAGCCAAACCACACAGAACACGTCCAAGGGCACCCCTTCCCCCAAGGATGCACAAGAACTTCCAAGAACATTGGGGTACCTTCCCCGAGGCGGCCTCGATCTTACAGGGTCCGGCTAGAAGAAGGACCACTTACTTTTCAGAAGGGGCTCGGTCGTTCCTTTGGCTCGCATGCGTTCCGCTACTTTTTTGACGGCGAGCCCCCCTGGTCTTCCTTCGGAGTTCGTAGACTTACTTGTAAAAAAAAGGCGTCGTTCCATACGTATCGTTCCTTAGGTTTGGCCGAATATTCTGTATGCCTCTGTCCAACTGCAGGGACACCAGCGAAGGCGAGCGCTCGGCGGGCGGTGCGGCGCCGCCGACCTGCAGGGCCCCGCGCTCGCCGGGGGAGCGGCTACGGGCGCCGGTGCGCGGCCTCGCTTGGGGGGGGTGGGCGGCAGCCTCAGAGTTAGGTCGCGCTTGTCCCCCTACAAGAGGGTTTGAGACGAGAAATTAAACATACCCCCCACATGTTCCAAAATGGCCCGAACATGCTAAACAAATCGTCCCCAGACCATGTGTTTACTATTTCTGAATATCCGCCCTGTAGAGGGACAAAGCCCGACTTAACCTCAGAGGAGTCCGAGACGTCCTGGAACCTGTCGGTCCGATTTGCTCCGGTACGCAGCACGCAGCACGCAACGTGCTGATGCGGCGCTCAACACGCAGGCTGAAGGCGTCAGTGGGGGGCGACGCGTTCGCCAAAACGTAACGTCGAACCAACACGCATTGTGTTAACACTGATGTTTTGAACACGGCGCGCGTTGCGTTCCAAATCGGGCGTATCAGGGCAGCTAAGCTGCAATTCCGAAACGATATGCAGGGGGCGGCGGGTCCGCGGCTAACGCCGCCGAGCTGCTCTCGAGTAGTCGCGAGAAGTTCTGGGGTATTTGCTGGGCCCGCGTCCATGGGCCTAAGAGGATTGGGCGCTCGGAAGCAGACGCGCCTCTCGTCAGTGCCCCGCAGACTGGGGCACTGGTAATTCCTCGGCCTCCACCTTTAGCGCCTTCCGCGTGGCAGATGCCGCGCAGCGGTGGCTGCCACCGCGCCCACGTCATAGCGGTCGCCGTCGAAATCGCAGCGACGGTCTCGGTGGCCGCCGCGGCCGCACCGCGGCGGCACCTGCCACGCGGCAGGCTCGAACGGTGGAGGTCGAGGGCTGGCGCACCCAAACTGTTGTTCCGTAGACTGACGCATGTTTACTTGCATGGCATCCCCCCCTTCCCCCCTCGCTCCGCCATTATTCTAACGCAGACGGCGCTGGGCCGGAAATGTGTGTAAACTGATCCCGACTTGCGCGGAATCGAGATTTCCTGTCGACTCTCGTCGGACCCTTCCCAACTGGGCGGCTTCCTCCGGGGGCCCAGGCGCTCCGAGGAGCGGAGGGGGATTTTTTATCCGGACGCATGCTGACGACTAGCCTCAGCTCCCAGCAAAGCCTACGAACGGCGAAGGGCCCGAAGTCCGAAAGGGACGAGGGGCGGACCCAGGACCCGAGACAGAACCGACCGAAAAGGACCGACCGAACAAAAACAATGACCGAAACCTCGAGGGCCACGGGCAGCAAGCAAGCAGCGCAAAACTGCTGGTACAGTCTCTTGGGGCGGATTGCAACCCTGGTCCTCAATGGCAGTCGTGCTGCCCGCGCTGAATGCAAGTAAAACAACAAACAACAAAAGAGAAGAAACGCAACTTTGTTATTCTTCTGTCTTTTTACGAGCCTGGGCGAAGCACTAGATATAACGAAGACAGGTCGCCATAAACGCGAGCCAGACGCTACGGGTGCCTGGTTCCATCGCGGCTCGACGCTCGCGGTTGCGGCGGGGCCTGCAGGGTTCCCGCGGCGCGAACAGTTACACTCCAAACCAGTCAACTACGGCGCGGGAGAGATGCAAAAGGCAAGCAGGCAAGAGACACGGCGAAACTTTGTCTTCTTCTGTCTCTTAGCGAGCCCGGGTGCAGCTGGGCGCGGAGGAAGTGAGACGGGCAAGTGCTGAGAAGTATGCCCAAGAGACCGGCATCGCGCAGGCAGAGCACCGCGCTCTGACTACGTCAGGTCCCGGGAAAAAACAAAGGAAATGCGCTTGCAGAACGTGCGGGTCCCCCCCGCCGCCCCCCCCCCCAGCCATCATCCATCCTCCTCCGATAGCCTACTGGAGGGCTTCGCGAATCGAATCGGGGCAATGTAAATCACGAAAAGTGAAAACAGCATGCAGATGGGGAAAGGCACATTGTCTGGTCGATGGGCACGACCGAACCGAGAACTTCACCAGACCGAAGGCGGCGTCCATCCCGCATTTTCTCGAGCCTGTCAATGGTGCCCTTGGCGCGGGGACGACCCTTGCACCCGTGCTTCGGATCTGCCGCATTTTTCCGGCTATAGCGACCGCGTCGGTCGCAGAAAATTACGTCGCAAAGTCTGCGCAGAGCCCGGCCCCCTCTGGTGGGATTGGCGCAAGTGGCTCGAAGCAGGTGCCGCGTGGAAACAGAGCTGGACCAGAAACTTGCACAGCGGAGCCCATCGATACTGGGGCCCCAGAAATGCTTATGCAGAAGCCCTTCCCGAGCACCCGAGAGGAGCAGGGATGGGGATAGAGGAAGCAGGAGGGTCGGTGCCAGCTTGCCAAACATCCTCGGGCAGCTCGAAGATCCAAGCCACTTTGACCGACGCGCTGCGCGACATGAGTAACGCGCGCTGTCGCGCGAGAGACCCTATCCAACATCGCCTGATCGTTACAATGGAGGGCTGCGCCTAGCTTAGCCACGCGGTCGGCCTCGCGATTTCCTTCGTACTGCACCTCAACAAGGGCGCGCTCTTGGAGCGTATCTTAGTCAGACGAATTAGGTGATATCCGATGCCTGACGCAAGACGGTGGCCCCCCCGCCACAGAGAGCAGTGAACAGCCCATCCGTGGGTAGTGGCCTCGAAACCTAGCCGCCACTTGTCAATCAAATACTGTGCATCAGTGACATGCCCATGCTGGAGGCTGGGCAAGCGTGCGAAAAGGTAAACACAGAAACCATGCAACTCCGCACCTGGGACGTCCTGGACCACGCGCGCGTGCGCCCTATAGGCCGGCGCGTTGATCATAGGCCAAGAACAGGAACGCACGTCCCATCCCGCCAATAACGCGAGCGGTGATGGTCCACAAATAAATGAGCCGTCGCAAGAGGCAGGCGAGGAGAAGAGGGGGCCTTCACAGGCGACCTCCCGCACGGGATTGGGGGATGGAGGGGGGGGGGGGGGGAGCAGGAACTACGTGGGTCAGGAACCAGGGCTGAGGTCCAGACAGGGCTGTGCATATAATGTCCCCTACGCGACTTAAGGGCTGGCGAAGCGCCAAACCAGCGCCGAAAAGATGAAAGACCATCGCATTTACAAAGTGCGTGGAATATCGGGTTTGCAACGGTCAGACCACGCAGAGGGCGCCGGCTTAACGCGCATTGCCCCTGGCAAGCAGGCGCGCAGAGCATGATGCTGGAGATCGCCCCAACCTGAAGTTTCCCTGCTTAGCGAGGACCATCTGGGGCCCAAGACAGAGGGTCCAACAAGATTGTGACGCAGTGGATGTCTGTCAGGCGCCTGCTTCCGCGCCCAGGCGCGGGCTGCCCGACTCGCGAAGGCCTCAATCTCATGAGGGGGGTAGACGTAATATCTAAGCTGCTTTCCATTGCGGCATGCCAGACTGTCGAGGATTCAAAGGACCATCCAATCCTGAGCAAGGTAGCCGCCGCAATAGCACCAGGGCCCTGGGGGAAGCCCAAGGAGCCTGCTGCGTGACTGCGTTGATGGCGCCCTGCAAGACGCGATCAATAATGCCCCGTGGTAATAGAGACACCCGCCTAGATGCAGTCCAGAGGCGAACAGCATCGGCGCGCGCGTCTAAAACTCAGTCCACCACTCCTATCAAGGCTGAGTCCATGGCGACGGATCGGCGCCTACTTGTTCCAAGACCAACGTGACATACGTTTCGGGTCTGCATACTCTGGTAAGTAATTTAGCCTACTACATCAATGCCGGAGGTGACCGTCGGACGAAGGTTCGTATTGATGGTGCCCTGGGCCTGAGCCCCTGCGAGCCGCAATCTGACAAGACGGCGAGCCTTCTGCGTCGCCTTCCGAATCCCAGACTTCAGCGCAATGCGAGGGCGGCGCCCTCGGCGAACCTGAAAGTCGATGTCTGAGGTCCTACAAGAGGAACGTACAGCACCCCCGGGCCGAGCAATCCCGGCTGCGATTCTTCTGGCCAGGGTCGCACCCGACGTAAGGAGCACCAACTTGGGCTCGGGAGGGTGCGCGGGGGCGGGGTGGGGTGGGTGGGTGGGGGTGGGTGGGTGGGTGGGTGGGGTGGGTGGGTGGGTGGGGGGGGGGGGGGGGGGGGGGGGGGGCGGGGCGGAGTATGTCAACTTACTCGTGAGAAGTCGCGAGGCATGTGGGGCCGCTCGCATCACCTCAGCTTCAGAGCGCACTCCCAAGGCCTGAACGTTATCGGCAACCAATCCCAGGTGCAATTCTGGATGCGCGCGAATTAAGGTGGCCAGCCCTGGCACGAGCGCGGCGCGCATGAACAAATCGGCAAACGAGCAGTCAGCAAACATAATGGTAGCAGCAGAGATCCATGGTCCGACGATTCGCCGCACGGTAAGAACACGCGGGGATCGCATCCAGCAGTGCTCTCAAGAGGGCGGGGTTGAACTGAAACTACTGGCAACGCTGGATGAAGACGCGATGGCGAACCAGCTCGAAGGCCTTCTTAAATTCCGAGAAAGAGGGCCCAAACATGCGAGCCACGTAATGCAGCGCACTCAACCAAAACGCTCATGCGCCACACACACACACACACTGTTGACGACAATGGTTGCGCACTCCGTTTACACGCGGTATCGCATGACGCTGCGCCCATGCAAAGCCGCACGTTTATTAAAGTGTCGGCCGGGTGCACGTGCGCACAAGGTGGTGGACAACGCGACCGTGCGCTCACCCCCCTTAAGCTGGGGCAATAGGTCAACTACAAACCTGGCCACGATTGTCGGAAAACGACCAAGACGTACGACAGCAACCCAGTGCTTGAACAACGATAACAGGGACTCGTCCGAAAGCCACGCGCGGTGGCGAGGGCGAGCCCTGTCCACTCCGACACAAGTGCGGGCCCGATATCTGCGACGCATCTTGCGCTGGCGTTCCAGGGGCGGCATAGGCCAAGATGCAAGGTCATCAGGTAGAACTGCTGGTAATGGCAGGCCCTCGCAAGGGTCGGAGCACTGCTCAACAGGTGGCGTGGGCGTCCACATTCCATGCCGGAACTGCCCGCGCGCCTTTTAGTGATGAGAAACGGTGCCGCGAGGGGGGCGCCCGCGGAAGGGTTCTGAATGGCGC